GGATTAAATTCTGTGTTTCCATTATTGTTTTAAGGATAATATTGAAAACACAAGAAGTTTATGGACCTAACCAATAATGTGCAACAATTAAAATTGTGAATATTTCTTAAGGTTTGATTATTATCTAACGTTACTAAATATAACTAAAATCAAAACTTCTCCTACTGATACCATGAATATTGTTGATAAAAGACAACGTTAAAATAAGTTTCATGGCAAACTAATCAACCGAAATAAACGAATTTAACATCGTATGAATTATACACTTGATAATCTCTTATTTATATTTAAAAACAATGGTAGGCATCAATTATTATGTAAACTTGGTCAAATAACAATTAGAAAATTGAATGATATTTTCAAGGAGTGTGACGCAATCTCTTTCGTCAGCCCACTTTGAATATACGCGTATAATTACAGCTTTTTGCCACCATAGGCTGTTCCCGCGTATCGATTAACCCGAAGACCACAAACGGCACTTTTTGAAAATTAAATATATTAACAGAGGTATTGATTTCATCAACTTATCGAGTATAATTAATGACTATACCATTCAAAACTTTATACTTTCCTACTTTGGTAACACAGAACCATCTATTTTTTCGTACACAAACAAAAAAATAAACGCAGCAGAATTTTAATTTTAAGTTATACGTAAGTATTATCAGATGTCAATGTAGAAATTTATACTGCTTGAACTTGAAACTGTGAATCGTCGAAGTTAAGATATGATCCCTATGGCCATGTTAATACTAGAGACCTACATATCGTCAAAGACAGAGAGGTTAAAAACGTTTTGAAAAAAGGACCAAGATATCGTCCTCCATCTAAAATAGAATGGAAACAGTGTCGTCATGTCACAAAAGACGCTCTTTCCTCGCTTTGTAAAAATTGGTGTAAATGGAAAAAATCTGATAAAAATACCTTGATTCTTATTAAAATAAATGTATTCATTTAGTGGATATTCGAATTTGATGTGTGGTGGTATGCCGTAAATATTACGCTGACATTCGTAAGAATGAAATTTTGAATTCATCTACATAAAGGTCCGTGCACTCCACTGAGAGTCATATAGTAAACAAACATATCATAACCGCATCACAGCTTAAGGCCTCTTCTGAACATTTGAGGGTCCTTACTATGTATTCTTTACATAAACAACACAAAAACGAGTGAAATATCGTTGCATCTCGGGCTGTAATAAGTGTTCTACAACTAATTTTTCAGTGCCTTTAGCTAGTTCTTTAACTTCTTACTCTCAAAGAACTTTTGTAATAAAATATTTGAAAATAGAATAATCAACTATTGTTGGAGTGTAAACAATTATTTGGATGCTTTAGACAAATTATGTGCTTTTGATGGTCCTTTTGATTCTGTTGACAGTTTGACATTTCAACCCTTTATACTACATTTCCAAACAATCTTGTCAAACATAATTTTAATTACATGGTCGTTCATGAAGGAAAATATATGTGCTGCAACATATTTAAAGCCTTCTTTCTTCTCTAATGAGAAAGGTTGATATGCTCAATATACTTACTGGAGGTGTGATAAGATGATTGCAGCTGTTAGTTTTCTCATTTATATACGTTTCGGCAACAAATAGATATAAGAAGATGTGGTATGAGTGCCAATGAGACAACTCTCCATCCAAGTAAAAATTTATAAAAGTAAACCATACAGGTTGTAGATATTCCTATGAGCACTAATTGCGCCTCTTAATAAGACAACTTGTTTTTGTACTGTTATGAATCACAGTGTATGACCAAACTCAGTAAAGACCCGTCTCAATTGCATATATTGATAACTTCAACAACACTTACCGTTACCTTGATGATAATTTTTCGTGAAATAATCAAGAATTTTCTAAATATACTGACGAAATTTACCCAAAGGAACTTTAAATAAATCTAATGTTAACAGTGATAACTGTCCTTTCCTAGGTTTATTTTTTAGTTTTACACGGGAAACTCCACACCAAGATTTACGACAAAAAGGACGATTTCGTTCCTTATTGTCAATTTTTCTATTTTTGTATGGTGGTGTTTCTTTAGCAACATCTTACGGTGTTTAGATTTTACAACTCGTTCGCTATGCTGTGTCTGTTGTGACTTTTTTAAAATTTCAATGAACGTAATCTACGTATCACTGGAAAAGTAATAAGTTAGGGGTTTCGGTACCAAAAATTAATAAAAACCTTTACTTAATTCTTCCATAGATATAAAGATTTGGTTCTAAAGTTAGTTGTACCTGTAGAAACTTATTTCAAACGGGATAGTACATCCTTATTTTTACGGAGATTTTATTAACCGTGCCCGGAAAATCAGAAACAATCCTGGTAAACTTATTAATTCTTTAAATAAACTTAATCTAAAAGGTTACCAATTCAACACTGTAATTAAATTTTTGAATGTCGTTTTTATTGGTCTCAATTTTTATATTGTTAATTGGTAAATTAAAAGCAAACTAAACGTTATTGTCGTATTCAAAGTCATATGCACTTTCATGGATCTACAATATGTTGATAACTGTATCTTGGCATTACACAAGGTCATGTTTTTCACTGACTGTTTATAACGTCTATCCACAAAATCGAAGGGATTTTGGATGTGTAATGATTAGTCTTAGATGCATGATTTTATGTATTAGTTTTTATTGGTTTTGAACTAGCTGTTAGTAACTGCAAATACTCTCAGATTAGTACTTAGCGTCTTTTTTTGGGATGTACAAGTACCCGGCCACGTCCACTCTGAGTTTTTGTTAGATGTACTGCTATTTGTATCCATCTGTTGAGTTAAGCCTTTTTTAACTGAGTTTTATAGTTCGTTCTTATGTTGTACTGTTACACCGCTGTCCCAGGTTAAGGGAGGGTTGGGATCTCGCTAAAATATTTAACCCCGCCATATTATGTATAAAATTGAGAATGAAAATGGGGAATATGTCAAAGAGACAACAACCCGACACCAAAGAGCAGATAACACCAAAGGTCACCAATGGGTCTTCAATGCATCGGGAAATCCCGCACCCGGAGGTGGGCCTCAGCTGGCCCTTAAAAAATGTGTACTAGTTCAGTGAAAATGGACGTCATACTAAACTCCAAAACATATAAATGAACTAAAATTATAAAACATACAAGACTAACAAAGGCCAGAGGCTCCTGACTTGGCACAGGCGCAAAAATGTGTCGGGGTTAAACATGTTTTGTGAGATATCAACCCCACCCCCCGTATACCTCTAGCCAATGTAGAATAAAGAAACACACAGTACACGCATAGTAAAACTCAGTTTAAAAGAGGTCCGAGTCCGATGTCAGAAAAGGTAACAAAAGAAACTAAGGAAAATGACAATGATACATAAATAAACAAAGGACTACTAGTAGATACTGACATTCCAGCTCCAGACCTTAATTAAACTGATAGAAAGATTATGTCTTCATCATATGAAAATCATCAAAATAACAAGATCAAAGACAGATTAAAAAAGAGGGACGAAAGATACCAGAGGGACAGTCAAACTCATAGATCGAAAACAAACTGACAACGCCATGGCCAAAAATAAAAAGACAAACAGACAAATAATAGTACAGATGACACAACATAGAAAACTAAAGTCTAAGCAACACGAACCCCACCAAAAACTGGGGGTGATCTCAGGTGCTCCGGAAGGGTAAGCAGATCCTGCTCCACATGTGGCACCCGTCGTGTTGTTTATGTTATTACAAATCCGGTAAATTGTCTAATTCGGTAGGTCACATTCGTGAAAAGGGAAGGGTATTGTAGTTACGACATAAGGAACATATCCGATATCACCTGTGAAACGGTTATTTCATAACGGTCAACCAACTCGTGATGGCGGCGTAAAATTTACGAAGGGATGATTTCAACTTCACCATTTGGAACTCTTGGTTTAATAGCTTCCTTGTGAGCAGCAATCCTCTATCAAGGAAATCATGATAGGAAATACAAGCCCGGGAATATCGTATCAATTGGGAGATATATACTCCGTATGCAGGCGCTGCTGGAATGTTGCTACATAGAAATGGAAAGTTCACAATTGGGAAGCTGAAATCATCTCTTTTGTCATAAAGTTTTGTTTTCAACCGACCCTCATTGTCAATTTCTAGATGTAAGTCAAGATATGAGGCAGACTTAACTGTATCTGTAGTATCCTTTATCTCTAGTTCGATGGGATAGATTCGTTCAACATAGTCACCAAATTTTGTATTATTTAGTGAGAGAACATCATCTATATAGCGGAACGTAAAGTTAAAGGATATTGCTAACTTCTGATCTTTCTTCCTAGAAGTTCCTGTATGAAGTCAGCCTCATAATAATAAAGAAACAAGTCGGCAAGAAGAGGGGAACAATTGGTTCCCATTGGAATTCCGAAAGTCAGTTGAAAAACACGTCCTCCAAACGTAACAAATATGTTGTCAATCAAGAAATCAAGCATCTTGATAACGTCAGTTTCAGTGAATTTTTTGTTTGAATCAGAGTGATTCTTTACAAAGTAGGATTTATCCCTCCCCAAAACAAGATACTTGTATCTACGTTCGCCATTCTTTTTTTAATGAAACTAAGTAATACCAACTCTTTCAATTTGTCTTTTAGTTTGGAATGGGGAATACTTGTGTAGAAAAGTCAAATGTTTTAATACTATTGCAAGATGAGAGAGTCTTAGATTGTATGTACTCTAAAAGATCTTTGGAATTTTTTAGTATCCACATCTGATTCACGCCACCTCTAGAATAGGCAGTTTCACAATAACTTTGGAGCACGGCTTTGATTGCTGATAGAATAGTTGTTAATAATTTAGAAAGAGGTTTCGTGGAGCACTTGGAAGACCCAGCAATATACCGTTGTTTGTAAGGACACTTATGTAGTTTAGGTATCCAATACAGTTTAACAATTCCGAATTGTTAGCACATAGTTACCTAAACCCTGCATCACCATACTTAAACATTAATTTCACTATTTTTTTTATTAAAAAGTCAAATATACCTTTTATGTTCCAAGGTATCGTTTCCTTTCTGGCAACTGAAAACGTGTTACTCAAATTGTCTATTGATATCTGCCTTGATCTATCAGATTCTTCTAAACTTGCAACATTTTTTGTCACATTCAAGTGTTCATTTTGCAAGGTTTGGCAGGAGTCTTGTAACTCTCTTTGATAATCTGTTACTCTGTCCAACGTTGTTCTCATGTAAATAATCTCATTTTGTGTTTGTCTGAATTCCAACATAATTTCATGATATGACTGATCTATTGGTTTTTCTTTTAACCCTTGACATTCTTGGTATATTATTGGACCAGCTAATCGGTTTAAAGCCTGCAAATGTAAGAATAAACTCATCATAGAAACCAGGATTAAAATTTTGTATTAATGCCCGACGCCCGTTTCGTCTACAAAAGACTCATCAGTGACGCTCGAATAATAAAAAAGTTAAAAAGGCCAAATACAGTACGAAGTTGAAGAGCATTAAGAAATTAAACTCTGTGCTACTGTTCAATACTGACTCTCTGTCTATAGTTTTTTGATAAACAATATGTTTGAAATGCAATGGATGTGAAAATGCATCGCACAGCATAGTATGCTCACATGTATTTTGATACCAGAAGAAAATTTACGAAGCGTTATCTTTGGCTTAGATGTTTTTATGTTCTTTTTTTATACATGTTCATTGTATATCTTTATTCTCTATAAGCCAATGCAATACATCAGTACAGAGATAACAAATACAACAATGATTATTTTCAATATTCACGAAACAAGCGAGAGAGGATAAAAAAGTTACAAGCCAGGAGTACAAACACAAGTATTTGTTTTTTTTATAAAAAAACAAAGCTTCTTCCGAACTGCTTTTCTTGTACTTGACACAAGTTCTCTAACTTAACTGTATTTGGACATTTTGTAAAATATGCAGTTAATTCTCTTTTCGTTTTTGATCAGGCCACAAAATTAAAAATTTCACAACGAAATAGTTGCAATATTACTGTTAACACAACATAACTTCATTTTTCATAAAAGCACATGATAAATACTTTATATAAAAAAGCATATTGCACGAGTTAATCTTTCTAACATCTGTGACACCAAGTCTCCAACTGTTAATATCTGACCACTCGTTACAATCAGGAGTAATCTATATAACCAGGGGACCAAAATGTAGAGGGAAATATATAAAGCGGATGAATGTATTTGGAAAATCTCTGACACAAGTTTATGGATTTTCTATCCCAGGAATTTAGCACTGCTGTTTGAGGCAACCTTCAAAAGGGTATCACAAGCCCAGTAGTCTGCACTTCTATGTTGACATGATTTATCATTGATATGGTCATGATTTTTAATCAACTGTTAACAAAACTTTGAATTTTACGAAATACTAAGGATTTTACCCCCACGACATAAGCTGGTTTTGTGTAAGGTTTCTGAATTGTGGTTCTTAGATACTTTTGAACACCGTACTTTGTTTTGACCGTTTGAACTTTTTGATTCGAGCGCCACTTATGACAAAGGCTAAGAGCGTAATACTGGGAAATATCTTTACTTCGGTTCTCATGCCATACGATAAATCAGAAAGTATCGGCCTCTCATAAAGCACCAAATTTACCAAACTCCAATCGGAAGGCGGACCTGGTATTTGTTTTATCAATCTGTTTTAGTAAATGCATTTAGAACGAAAGGGATCAAATCATCTGTATTTTTATATTTACCCGTTTAATTTATAAAATACGGAAAGTAACTTCTGGTTTCGGAAGCAAAGACCCTTTTCGGTCACGTGCTAATGTTTATACCCCATGGAACAGAGTTCCGTAGTGTATAATGTTTTTGACCCGTTCGTCTGTCCGTCTGTTATTCTGTTCGTCAGTCCTGTTCTTGTTATTGCAACTCCTCTGAAACCACAAATCATTACATGACAGGAATACAGTACAAATAAATGCAAGAACACTAAAGACAGAGAAATACATAAATAATTAATATAATAGAACGTTTCGACATGTTAACCACATAAAAACAACGAATAACTAAAATTAATTTAGGACAGTACACAAAAACAACATAATAGAATTACGAACTGTGTGTCTGTCACACGAATGTATCAACGCCACAAAAAGTAACGTCACAGGTAAATTTCTAAATATTGGATATAAATCAAGATTAGGTTTCTAATTATTTTATTTGATGTATTTTATAACTATTACAAGAATATCAATATCGAATTGTGTTAGTAATTGCGCAACTAACTTCACTATCTAACTATGTCGGCCTTTCTTCCAAATCAAACTGTGTAAAATAAATAAATCCTGTTGCTTTAAACTAAAATCATACAATTTAACTGGGTGATTAATTATCTTTACTTTTACATACATGAAACTTTTGATAAGGACAAACTAAGTATATGTGCATATTGACAGAAAATTATGATTCCATTGTTTTTCTTAGAGATAAGCTTCTTTTAACTTAGAGTTTTGGCCTAAATATACTACTGCAACAGTTTTTTTATCGCAACTCCTCTGAAACCACACAACAGAATTTCATGAAACGTTTAATAAGGATATACCATGTAGATGTGCATACCAACAGAAAGTGTTCATCAGTTGACTTTTGCAAGTCTATGAACTTAGAAATCTGGGAATATTTTGTTTGCCCAGTGACAATGTTGGGGTGTGGGGTATGTTATCGTGCTCACAAAGGTTCTTTAATTCGTGAAGATTCGATTACTTCCCGGTCACGTGGTTTGCATTAACGAATGAACAAGAAAACGATGCGTGTCGTGCATGATATTCCGTTAAATACACTACCTCTATAAAATCTTGGAAAAAATTTATTAAGATAATTAAACAATGATAATCCAATTTGAGTTCTGTCTTACATCAGTCTTCATAAGTTCAATAGATTATGGCGTAATTTGGTGACGTCGAAATATGGAAATTCAGTAATTGGTATTTAAATATATTAAAGAGAATCAAATGAAATATATGTCGCCAATACCATATTATTTCGTTGTATCAATTGATGAAAAGGGTTTTAAGAGTTTGACGAAAAATAAAACTGCCGCCTTCATTAGAATAATTAATGTAAGAGGAGAATGCTTATCGGCAATAATTCCCTAAAAAGTCATTTATTTATTAATTAAAGATTCCATGTCTTAACTTTAAAGTGTTGAATAACAGTCAACAAGTATTCATAGAAAAACACGTTAAACTATCATTTGAAAAGATGAAAAGTTTAAGACTTATACTTTCAAGTAAATGACAAGCCAACTGAAACATTCGAAACAAATGTAATCGTTTAAATAAACGTTTGAGGTGTGGGTTTATCAAAAGGCCAAATGCAAAATGTTAATAATTGGTCTGCATCAGTATCCTGTCGTCTTTAAGTTCATAAAAGTTTAATCTTTCTAAAAGGTATGAGTACGTTGCAATTTCATATCTAAAAAAAAACATTTTTTTTCGTAACGATTTTGATTTTTTTTCTGATATCGTTATATAGATTTCAGGTTTATAAATAATGTTCATGAAAAAAATGGGGTCCATTGGGTCGATTTATGGGTCACTGGAAAAGGAATCGATAAGAATCACGCGTTACTGTTTATTCTGAAATAATTTTACACTCTGATAAATTAATCGTGTTATGTAGAAGTTCAATGATACGTTCAATTTCATTGTCACATAAACGGTTACAACACGTAGCGAGTGTTACTCGTTAATTGAAGCTTAAAGTTCCAATGTACCATTTACAGAGGGCTACTTAAAAGTTAAACAACAAAAATACCGAACTTCAAGGAAATTCAAAACAAATAGACCTTTATCGAATAGCAAATCAAAGCTTGAACACATCAAACGATTGGAAAACAAATATTAATGACTTGGTACAGAGATTTCCTTACGTCGAAAATAGTGGATAAAAACCTGGTTTGATAGGTAGTTAAACCTTTCAATTGTATGACAACCGCATAAAAGTCCTTTATATTGAAAAAAATGTGTGAACAAAACAAACAGACATAAAAGGTAAAAAAAAATTGAAAAAGTAGGGATACAGCAGTCAACAACGTGTTATAATCTTAATCACTATAAAAACAAACAAATATGTCAACCAAGAAAAACAAAATGGCATGTACACAAAGCATATAACATGCATAAGCACAAATGAAAGACAAGAATACAAATAGACTATTGTCATATTACCAACTTTTGACTCCGGATTATATAATTTGTCGACTGGTTACCTTGGACATCATGGTACCAAGTCAGGTAAGAGCAAGCTAAAGAATTAAAACCAAGCTTTCAATCGGTACAATTTTGGGGGAAAATTACCTGCTTAACATTTTTTTTTCACTATTATACCGATTATATGTTTGATTTTACTTATTTTGGTTGCTCTTACTTGACCGATTACCATGATGTCCAAGGTAACCAGTCGACAAATTATATAATCCGGAGTCAAAAGTCGGTAATATGAAAATAGTCTATTAAGACCATAGCACAATAACACAATGGCGGGATGTACAAGTACCGAGCCATATCAAAAGGATATTTTCAAAAATGGACTTAGCAGGACAGGTAAATAATTCACAAAATTAAATAAAAGAACACAATAACACGTAATTAAGATGATACAACAACGTCAGTGCCTAGAATCTATGCTTCAAGACCATCTAGTTTATTTTTGAAATTGATACAGATTATTTATAAACAAGGTTTTGGTATCTTCCGATAAACTTTTTCGAAAAAAGACGAGACGTTCTTGGACGTCACTCAGATTCATCGACATTATGCTCAGAAACTGGTGACGTTTTATAAAGTTTGTGTAGCAGCTGCAAGCTCTAGAATACGGAATGACTTATCAAAAGTAATACCCATATGCACATGAAGTTTATATATTGCTACTAAAAAAATTGAGAATGGAAATGGGGAATATGTCAAAGAGACAACAACCCGACCAAAGAGCAGACAACAGCCGAAGGCCACCAATGGGTCTTCAATGCAGCGAGAAAATTCGGAGGTGGTCCTCAGCTGGCCCCTAACTGAAATAGTGTGCTAGTTCAGTGAAAATGGACGTCACACTTAACTCCAAAACATATAAAAGAACTAAAATTAAAAAACATACTAGACTAACAAAGGCCAGAGGCTCCTGACTTGGGACAGGCGCAAAAATGCGGCGGGGTTAAACATGTTTTGTGAGATCTTAACCCTCCCCTATACCTCTAGCCAATGTAGAATAAAGAAACACATAGCAATACGCACAGTAAAACTCAGTTTAAAAGAAGTCCGAGACCGATGTCGGAATAGGTAACAAAAGAAACTAAGCAAAATGACAATGATACATAAATGAACAAAGGACTTCTAGCAGTTACTGACATGCCAGCTCCAGACCTCAATTAAACTGATTCAAAGATTATGTCTTCATCATATGAAAATCAAGTACAATCCCTCCCGTTAGGGGTTTAGTATCATACCATCATAAAATATATGAGAAGAACATAACCCGTATCATGCCAACAACTGGTTTTAGAATAAATTTTTATTTCTGATGCAAAGAGCCTATGAGTGAATCAATATTAATACCAAAATATGCAATCCTTAATGCTTTACAACAGTATCGTAACTATATCCTTTCCGAATAAGTCTGTTTAAAGGTTTGGTTAGCTTTTGAGGTGAATGTCGACATTTTTGTGCTTTGTAAAGAATATTACCACAAAATATTGGATGTGAAATACCTGAACGTATAAGATGTCTGCATGTTGATTTATATTTACGAATGATGTCCTTGTACCGATGATAAAATTTAGTAAATATTTTGACTAGTTTGTGATATCGAAAACCCTGGTGTAATGATTTTTCAGTAATACAGAGATTTCTTTCGTTGAAATCAAATACGTTGTTACATACACGAGCGAATCGAACAAGTTGAGATATATAAACACCATAAGATGGCGACAAGGGAACGTCACCATCTAAAATGGATAATTAACAATAGGAAATGAAAAATCATCTCTTTTATCATAAATTTTGGTATTAAGCTTTCCGTTAAAAATAAAGATATCAAGATCTAGGAAAGGGCAGTTTTGATTGTTAGTATTAGCTTTATTTAAAGTCAGTTTGGCAGGATAAATCTCTTTAGTGTACATACTGAAGTCGTCATAAGACTAGCAATAGACCTCCAGCATTGTATATACGACGCGATCGTTTACCTATATATTCAACAAAACTGGTCTGTAAAAACAGGAAAACTGAAACTAATCTAGATTCTATTTTCGCATATGAGTTCGTCTCTTCTACACGGCGTGTTTAATATTCTATAATTCATTAGCGCCAGTAGAAAAGTAGCCACATCGTTAGACAACAGGCATTTTTTAATACCAATTTGTAGGCGTTTATATCGTCGGAAACTATTAACTTTTTACCATAATGCGAAGCAAAACGACGTGAGTAAATTAAATAGAAAATATCAATAATCTATTATCACGATCGAATTCCCACGAGGGCCAAAAATTAAAACAAATAACAAAATAATGTTAAGGACAATCATATAATCTCTTTTGAAGGAAACAAAATTAAATAATTTCATGTTAACTTAGATTTCAAAACCATTTCAAGTAAATGCAAACAAATTGATTGTCAGAATATAACTGGACAGAACGATGAAAATATCATTTAAATTTGTCTGAGTTAATGTTTCACGGGAAAGTAATAAAAAAAAGGGACGAAAGATACCAGAGGGACAGTCAAACTCACAAATCGAAAACAAACTTAGAACCCCATGGCCAAAAACAAACAGAAAAACAGACAAACAACAGTACAGATGACACAACATAGAAAACTAAAGACTAAGCAACACGAACCAAACCAAAAACTGGGGTGATCTCAGGTGCTCCGGAAGGGTAAGCAAATCCTGCTCCACATGTGGCACCCGTCGTGTTGCTTAAGTTATTACAAATTCGGTAAATTGTCTAATTCGGTAGGTCACATTCGTGAAAAGGGAAGGGTATTGTAGTTACGACATAAGGAACATATCCGATATCATCTGTGAAACGGTTATTTCATAACGGTCAACCAACTCGTGATGGCGTCCGTAAAATTTACGAAGGGATGACTCCAGCTTCACCATTTGGAACTCTTGGTTTAATAGCTTCCTTGTGAGCAGCAATCATCTATCAAGGAAATCATGATAGGAAATACTAGCCAATATGCATCTGACTGATTGATGTTTAATTAATCGAACATTTCATTAAAATATCAAGCGTTGTATAAAAACAATATTTTATAAAAAAAAAACAGTTTATGCATAATAAACTTACATTAGATATATCACTCCATGCTATATTGAAATATGTGGTGTCTATTGTATCACTATCAAGATGAGCGATGATATTCCTATACCATTTTATTCTTGCAAGATCAGATCCTGGAGTTTCCTCGAATTGAAGTGGTAGATCGTCAAATCCATTGATTGGAGGAGTGATAGATGTCAAGTTTCTGATCAAACAGATCATTAAGGATAAATCAAATTTTGTTGAATCAAGTGAACCTGAAAATACAGGTTTGTGGATATGACTAAGTTATATAACATTAGGTTTTATAAACAGAAATGTCAAAGGCTGAACAAAACCTGTAAAGGCAGGTCCATTGTAAGACCTGCAGTGGAATATGCATGGGATCCAACAACCCAAAATATGCAATAGAAGTTAAATTTACAACATTTTTAAATTATTTTAGTCTTTGGGGTTTCAGTAGTGTGAGTTATTTTCTTGTTCTGAAAGTATATTAAACACCAGTATTTACTTTCTGCTTAACGAGTAAAACTATACATCTTGCATGTTAATCTTTCAGTTCAGCCAATTTTCATTCCTTTTTGTTATGCAATATGTTATAATTGTTGCCTTATACTTAAGACAATAATAGTTTTTTTTATATAAATGTTCAATAAATGCCTCAATACCTTTGCTAGTGTTTTCTTACTAAATATTACTACTATCTTCAAGAAATATAAATTATATTATAACCAAATGAATACAATGAATAAAAGTACAATATATAAAAGAGGGACGAAAGATACCAGAGGGACAGTCAAACTCACTGATCGAAAACAAACTGACAAATCCATGGCTAAAAAATTAAAAGACAAACAGACAAATAATAGTACACAAGACACAACATAGAAAACTAAAGGCTAAGCAACACGAACCCCACCAAAAACTGGGAGTGATCTCAGGTGCTCCGAAAGGGTAAGCAGATCCTGTTACACAAGTGGCACCCGGTTTTCTGTAATTTTTGTGCATGAAGTATGTACCTTATAGTTATCTGTCAAGCTCAGTCCAAACTCAAATCATAATCATGTTTACAATAGAAAATACCCTTTTTATAAGCCAAATTACACAATAACGTTGCGTGCAAGAAAATAGATCGTTAAAGTTCAAGATTATTCATGTAAATCACTGTTAGAACGTACATAAATATTGGATTAAATAGAAAGTCAGCACTATTTCATACGTCCTGACACCGATTTAGCAATATAAAGCCTGTTTTATTTCAGTAACTAAAGAAATGTAGGATTAATAACAAGCTTGAAAACAAAGATGTTATTCAAATGCCACATGTTGGCTGAATTTCGCAACGCTAAATTGGCAACAGTCAATTTTGCAAGTAACGACGTTACGTAAACAAAACGGTAATACCGCGTTATTTAACGTTCACAACACTGCCCTCCGTAAAAATGGAGTTTCGTCTCCAAATTTAGATAATCACGAAATATTAGATCATTATATACAATAAAACAAAATATAAACAAGCATCTGCTGTCTCAATGAAATATTAGAATAAGAAAAAAATGTTTCTGTCAATTTGGACTATAGTTCTAGACACATTATTAATCACGGATACCACAAATCACTTTAAAATTGTATCAATTGAATACGACAATGATACGAATAAATAATGTCAAAACTGTAGTTTTGTTTCTTGTAAATATAATATTTCAAAATTAATGTTTTTTACATTGGATATTGATTTATGGTTCTTCTCCTCCGGTCCTTTTCTTTTGTGTTTTCTTCTAGTCTTTTATTCCTTTTCCTCCAATCTTTTTGTGTGTCTTGAGTACCTGTTTTTCTTTCTAAATTTCTTTCTTAGTTTGGTCTAAATCTGTTTTACTGAAACTTTATATCTGTTGACTTATTTCTTCCTCCTGACAAAATATGTTTCTTCTGTAGTGGAAACATTTACATTTTTTTCTGTAACTGGAACATTTTCATTTTCTGTTACTAGAATATTCACAATTTCTTCTGTAACATTCACAATTGCTTCTGTAACATTTATATTTTCTACTGTAGTATTTATATGTTTTCTTTAACATTTACATTTTCTACTGTAACATTAACATTTTCTTTGGTAACATATACATTTTCTTCTGTAATTTGTTTCAACAGTCCATCAACATCTGGACATCATCCTTGTCCGTCTGTGTATCCGTATCACTTGCAGTTGTAATATTTCTCATATATACATGTATGTCCTGGGTCAATGACTTTGGTACTGTTAACTTATCTTTCTTTTTCTAATTGTATCCTGTATTGAGCATAGTTCTACTTTAACATAATTTGGTTTCAAATTTGAAAGTTGGTCATCAAGGATGATCACTCTGATTGGGATCTATTACCAAAAGGATCTACTAGCGTACTTGCTACCAACGGTTTTCTGCCATCTGACATTACCGCCTCTACCATAGAATCTCTGATTGACATGAACTATTTTCTTTCCGCAACCTTGTCAATGATAAGCCCAGAATAAGTGTCTCTTACTCCGACTCTGGCTACTGCATCAGTTTGCCTCTTAGTCTCACATTCAATCCACTGACCATTAAACTTTAAGCTTCGCTTAGGATTGATTGTGATGATCATTTCATCTATTAGGTCACAGCCTAATAATATGATATCTCCAATGGGTGCTACATAAACTGGCCATTGAAGTCTCACTTCCAAGAATAACTTCCACCTCTGTAACTCTATAATCCCTCGTGTTGTCAAGTTCTGTCCTGCTTCAGCAAATACCAAATGTCTTGTTGCTCTCCTTAGTTTTGGCCTTTTACTCTCAGGAATCTGAATATACAGCTTCTCACTCAGAACCGTCACCTCCGCTCAAGTGTCAAAAACTGCATTCGTCACAATATTGTTATTGTATTATAATGACTAATACTTTAAACAATTAACAATTTAATGCAGTAAAAATTTATAAATTAGATAATACTGATAAATGTTCAAATTAAACTGTTAATTCTGTATCACTTGTTAGCTGAACTGCTGCCGAAAAATATACTTCCAGTCATCAAAACTGGCCCAACTTAACGTGTAGTTTGACTGTCCCTCTGGTATCTTTCGTCCCTCTTTTACGGCTGCCCTATTGACGTCTCATAAGGTTTACGTTGTCATACAATAATGTTGCTTTATACCATACTTCTAACTATTTTACCCAGTTACGTGTTTATCTCCATACTACATACTACTAACTATATCATACTCCTCAGCCCTCTGACTGGGACCTACCGAAATATATACTATACGTTATAATAAGACATATACATACCCTTGTGTATTACACATGTCGCATAATTAGTCATAAATACTTTGCACGACTACTTATGCGTTCAAGCTATAGAAGATTGCGTTACATTAGATAATATTTAATGCTTTACTTTACAAAATAAATAATTACGGCGTATCGCATAATGCACTACGTTTCATGTCACATAGTTGACTATAAAGTATTATGTCATTATAAAATTACTACACAACGATATATAGCTTTTAAGCTGAATATACATTCATGTCTATATTTTGCATATTGCTTTACATACTTATGGAAATACGTACAACATTGCATTATCGTAAGCAAACTTATATAAAACACTAACTGCTTCGATAACCGCTTATTTACTATAGGCGGAAGCATACACACGTTCTCAAAAAATTGAAAACAACACGTTTAAAAATTTCATGCGTCCGAAGCGCTTTTCTGGATTTACCTTCATCAGGAACGCTCAATGCCAAACATTTGAAATTCGAGGGATGTATAAGTACCGAAACAGTTAAAGAGCTATATGACAAAAATACCTAAAACAAATAGCCAAATTCATCTAAGGTCAACTTTGACTGAGGGAGTTGAAACCTTATTTTCTTTATAATTTCAAAATTTATTAACAGACAATTTTAGAAAAGTGTGTTATAAATCATGTCAATACCGAAGTACTGACTACTGAGCTGATGATACCCTCGGGGACTGATAGTCCACCAGCAGAGGTATCGACCCAGTGATGTAAAAAATTGAAAACAACACGTTTAATAATTTCATGCGTCTGAAGCGCGTTTCTGGATTAACTTCATCAGGAACGCTCAATGCCAAACATTTGAAATCCGAGGGATGTATAAGTACCGAAACAGTTGAAGAGTTATATGAAAAAAATACCTAAAACAAATAGCCAAATTCATCTAAGGTCAACTTTGCCTGAGGGAGTTGAAACCTTATTTTCTTTATAATTTCAAAATTTATAAACGGACAATTCTAGAAAAGTTTGTTATAAATCATGTCAATACCGAAGTACTGACTACTGAGCTGATGATACCCTCGGGGACTGATAGTCCACCAGCTGAGGTATCGACCCAGTGATGTAAAAAATTGAAAACAACACGTTTAATAATTTCATGCGTCTGAAGCGCGTTTCTGGATTTACCTTCATCAGGAACGCTCAATGCCAAAACATTTGAAATCCGAGGGATGTATAAGTACCGAAACAGTTGAAGAGCTATATGACAAAATTACCTAAAACAAATAGCCAAATTCATCTAAGGTCAACTTTGCCTGAGGGAGTTGAAACCTTATTTTCTTTATAATTTCAAAATTTATAAACGGACAATTTTAGAAAAGTTTGTTATAAATCATGTCAATACCGAAGTACTGACTTCTGAGCTGATGATACCCTCGGGGACTGATAGTCCACCAGCAGAGGTATCGACCCAGTGATGTAAAAAATTGAAAACAACACGTTTAATAATTTCATGCGTCTGAAGCGCGTTTCTGGATTTACCTTCGTCAGGAAAGCTCAATGCCAAACATTTGAAATCCGAGGGATGTATAAGTACCGAAACAGTTGAAGAGCTATATGACAAAAATACCTAAAACAAATAGCCAAATTCATCTAAGGTCAACTTTGCCTGAGGGAGTTGAAACCTTAGTTTCTTTATAATTTCAAAATTTATAAACGGACAATTCTAGAAAAGTTTGTTATAAATCATGTCAGTACCGAAGTATTGAGTACTGAGCTGATGATACCCTCGGGTCATTATTAAGAATATTATTGTAGATTCATTAAAATTCGTTGGATACCATTTTATCGGGGGTTTCGTTGGTACAGGTGAATCACGAATTCAAATGTTCAACGAATTACAAAGTTTCTGAAGGCTTTGTACATGTGTGCAGAGATTGGAAAAACCACGAAATCAAATATCCACGAAAATGCAAGTTTTCCTCAATCCACGAAAA